GCATCGTTGTGTGGCTCCAGGCGGCAACGCCAGGGAAGTGCCAAGTGACAATAGTGAAATGATCAGGATAAGAAACTATTATGGGCGATTTACTATTAATAATAATTATTTTTGGCGAGTTTTAAGAAATATGCACCAGACCGTGTGTACACGACGTTTGGAGCCGAATCGTATTTGTCGTAGGAGTGTCATCGGAGTGCTCCCCCCTTCGGCAAAATAAAGTCAGACCAACCACGCCACCGAGTTCTAGCCATGCGTTCCGTAGTGCGTCGTGGGGCGGTACCGGTCTCTTTCAGCTTCCAAGCCGACACGCGCCCCAACCTAGCGCTCGCCTCGACTGACGGGCCAGCGCGCAGAGAGCTGACCGGTCGTCAGTAACTTGAAAACGCTCATCTCTGCGTGCGCGAGCCTCATGGTGGTTTCAGTTTGCTCGGGAGGTAGTACAGAGTCCAATGTGGTGGCAAGAAATCTTTTCTGAATCACTCAACATTGTTGCAATGGCAATGGCCAGGGTTCGCCAAGGCAAAGGTAGACAAGTAGCGATTCGTGCTTCGCTTTAGTAACACCCCTGAACTGCGTGCCTTTCAGTCTAAGGTGTCGCGTTGATCACTCAAATCCGCAAACTCGGACGAAATGCATTGCATTCTACAGCTCTTAGATTAATTCAGCAAAATTACGGAAGCTCGGCGCCTGCGAGGCTGAGGATAGGCCATCCCGTAAAGCACGCATGCACTGCAGGCAAGATGTTGCCTACCCATCAGGCGCTATGAGAGCTCGCCGGCTAGCCCCTTCACCCCATCCCCCAATAAAACCGTGCCTGTCGTCAGTCTTTCCTCCATTTCTCGATTTAATTTAATCTCGATCAAGAGTCCAGTGGCTTGAAAGAGGACCTGTATGTCATGGGGGGCACTACCCCGCGCGTTTAGTTGCCGACGCTACCCCTCGCCTTGCCTTGCGCGTTTGGCTTGGAGCGGCGGGCTGGGCTATACGCGCTTTCAGATGGCCTTCTGGTCGACCCTTTTCTTGTCACTTACAGCCCCCATAAAGCTTAGGCCATGTATCTCGTATCGAGAGGGTGGGCCTCAGTGGGCGTACTTGGCACGAAAATTGGAACCAAGGAGTGAAAGGGTATGTTGCGGAACCACCTGTTAGGCCGCAAGAATTGCAATCCGCTGAGCTTAGTAGTTATATTTATATAAAAGAAACAAAACATTCATGGTAACAAGACACCAGATTAAAGAACCAAATATGTAGGTTTGAAAATTCCCCATCACATTATTGGAAATGTCTAATAGAAATAAATGTAGATATCATGAAAGAAGTAACCGTAGTAGTGATTGTCTCAGCGCAAAACGAGACAAATTTATAACAGTTCTACAAAATATCATCAGGTATAAAACAGGTTGAGTCACACCAGCAACTGCTGCCTCATTCACACACTTCCATAACAGGAAATAGATGAGAAAGAGATGTACAACAGACAAAGATGTCCTATGGACAAAACGTCTAAATTGCCTTCTATTTTCTGCTTTGATTGTGTTTTTACTTCACGCAACTCTCAATACCATTTCACTGCTCAGTTGGATATGAATTAGAATAGAATGTTTGTATACTTTCTACAGAATGCAGTATATATACATGATATCATATCCACTCTTTGGGCAGTGAAAATGTTTGTAGCTGTGTTTATTGACTTGAAATAAAAAGCAAAAACACACACTATGACAACACACATTTAACAATTAAAAGCTGAAAGCAAACAAAACTCATACAGTAAGTAATGAACCAGTTATTGCTTAACACAGTTTGCCTTTAAAACAAAACAGAGATTAATTTTGTGATCAAAACAAACCAGTTGAGGCATCTTTAATAATGATTTTGGGCTATAACCAAAGGCATTACCAAAGTGTTAAGAGTAATCAATAAACGATTATGAAGGCAGCTCAACCAAAATGAAGCAGAATATAGAAGAAACAATGAGAATATTGATGAAGAAATTTAAATGATAGAATCCATTCATTGAAGAAACAATATTTCAGAAAAGGAGTTATTAGCTTATTGCTTTTTGATTCTCAATCATTAACAAGAAGTCCAAAAATGTTTACTTTCTAATTAAAACATATATGTATAACAAACCATTCACACAATTTCAACAATTCCGACTAACAAGTCTAGATCACAAGTTTGAAACTGGAAACGTTAAATTACAGTGGACCCCCGCACAACTATACTTTATGCAAACTGTCAGCTTAACACGTAGTAAGGCCTCTCCTAGCTGAGTTTAAGTTGAGGGTAGATGTACATTATCATCTAATACCCAGTGTGAGTTTCCTGTTCAAAGGAGTTATTTTCTGTGCAGCTGTCCGGGAGACCACTGTATCCAAAGTCACAGTATAAAGTGTTTTGGGACTTTCCTTACATTAAGACAACAAATGACAACATACATTGAGGTTCTTAAAGTAATATAAATATTACCATTAAAAGCAGTACCCTGAATGAACGCATTTTCATAACTCATTTTCCACTATCTTGAGCTCTACATCACACAGTATGGCCTGTTTTGATCCTGTCACTTCACGACAACCATAAACCGAAATTTGCAGGAGTAATATTTAGCCTAAAAGACATTATTCCTTAATGTTTGTAACCCGATTAAGAAACTTTATTGTCGGCCATTGTTATACATGATGTCAATATAACACTGCCACTTTCACCTCTTATTTTGGAATGAAGTGAACAATTCAGTTTGATTTGAATGAAGAAGTCTTACAACCGGCCCGCCAGTCAGGAAAGTGATGGACAAAAAAGGCACTTAAACTCTTTCAGACATCTTACACTTACGGCACACTGAATAATCCTTCCTCTCCTTTCCCTTTCTTTCAATATCCCTCTCTCAATGTATTTACATTAAACAATACTAATTCCAACATTCTAATGACAACACGAACAAACACCCCAGTGACGCCTGGGCGCCCTTAATGCTATAATTGACCTATTAGTGCTATGAACATTGATCATATAAACATTGAGTGTCGGCAGATGGAAAACACAAAAAGCATTGCCTTCCAGCAAATCAGTAATTGAGATTTTGAGTTGGCTGTCATCAAAGTCTTAGTTAAATAAATAAAGTTTATCTCAGCACCAAAGCCTTTAAAGTTCCTTTTTTCAAAGCAGACATCACAGTTTGTCACAATTTATCTAATAACTAGAGAAAAAATCTCTGAACTGAATGAAGACCGCCGGTAGGCAGGCAAACGGATCCAACATTCATCGCTGTTGTGCGGGTTGCCTATGGCACACAGGCTATGACGTCACATGTCGCCTCGACGTGCCAGAAGTTGGTTGGCATTTCTTTGCAGAATTTATACAAATTTGAGAAGCTCTAACTGACTTGAGGCTGGAGCTGGGTTGATTGACAGTAGCACAAGGTAGAAACACAAAAGAAAAGAACCTTATGAAGGTTGCAAAATAATAATGGTCCTCAGCACTAAATGTTAGCATTGAATCAGAGCACTTTAATGGTTTTGGAGGAAGCTATATATAACCTCAGTGAGATTTTGCTCATTTCATTCAGTCTTTGAAATATGTCTTAGAATTGTAAATGAAGGTCTTGAATGTACCTCTATATGCAATTGGATGGACATAATAACATTGCTTTTCTACATCAAACCACATCTGACGAAACAATGGTTATCAGAAAGAAAATAATATTGCTTTGGCAGTAGGCCCCAATTCAAGAGTGATTAAGAGCCCCAAAAAACTAAAAACAAAGACCGGAAACAACTACACTTGAGATTATCTAATAAAGCGTTTACATGCTGATTCACAATGGTAGAAAAATGCACAGCGTACTTCATTTAGTTCCAAACCAGGTACTGTTTCAAAATCAAAACCATTTTTCTTCTTGCATAAAAGAGGGTTCTATCACATAATTATGAGACATATTTGGACATGTGTGGCATGCTAAGCGTAGTTGAAACAAACAAAATGCTTGTCAGTTTTTGTACAACAAATATCCACACAGTAAAGAGCCAATAATTAAAATTAGTAAAATAATCCTGGACTAAGAACATTTTGACTAGAAAATATAATGGAAGAGCATTGCTTACAGATTACAAAAACATTCATGTTAGGCCAAAATTCTTTGTAGCTAACTGTATAAAAAAACAAACAGTAAACAAAGAATTCACTACATCATATTTAAACATCAGCAAGACCAGTAAACAGTTACTGCATTGTTATTTTGACGACAGCTCAAGCTTAACTTTTGAATGTTCATTCACAAACTCAAATTATTCCCAATTGCCTTTGGACTTGGTTTATCAGCTATCCTTTTCGAAAGTTTAAATAACCAATATCACTGGTTGTAACAAGTGTGATCAACATTAATGCTGTAAAAAAACTATATGGAATAGAAAGGTTGTTTGCAAGTCTAACTATGACGGCTGACTAGGTCGGTCTGCGTCTTCATCGAGGCTCAGGCACTTCATGAGGTAGTCCTCCATGGACTTGTACACGTGTTCCATAACACCATCAAGCTTGTGACCTTCATCGGCGTAGCTCTGTGAAAAAAAAAGAAACGCGAGGAGAATGAGTTAGGCACCCAATAATTTTTGCGAGGCGTAAAGCGGACTATTGACCGGCGAACGCACCTGATACCTGAAGACGATGCCCTCCTGGGTGAGGGCTCTCGCCAGGGTCACGCCGTGCAGGAACGGCGCGGACACGTCGGCCAGCCCGTGCAGCAGGTACAGGGAGTGGCTGGGGATGGAGCGCGCGCGCTGCGTCGCGTCCGCCTCCACGTAGCCCTTCACGTTGTCCGAGGGCTGTCCGAGAATGCGCTCCGTGAACGCAGAGTCTGGGAAAGCAGCGACCGTTGTAAGAAACTAAATATTTATCTCATCGCGCGCGTAAGATTGTAGCCATTATGACCTAACAATTTATTGAGGCTTTTATCTCCCACAAAGCATTTTGAGTAGGTTTGTGAATAAAATTAGTTTCTGAGCAAACTAATTTTGACAAAAAACATGATCCCTGATTTCGAGGCATGGAAACCAGTACGGCGTCCTAAAAATCAGGACGACTGACCGATCCATCCTGTTTTCCAAGCAGAGGTCACATCTGGTTGTATGGAAACTGAGACAATTTGCTTAGAATCCTGATCGTGCACAGCCCGGCGTAAGCGACGCCTGTAGTCGTAGGCGCCGGCCAGGTGGAGGGTAGGCAACATACTTACACGTGTGGTTTAATGGCCTACCGAACAGGCTGCACCGTGAACATATTTCCTCCGGGAGAAAGGGGGAGGGGGTTACGGAGGATATAGAAGAAATATCTTCATGGTGCAGCCTGTTCGGTAGGCCATTAACCCACACAGGTCTAAGTATTTTGCCTACCCTCCACCTTGCAGGCGTCTACGACTCTCAAAGGCGTCACGCTTGCGCCGGGCTGTGCACGATCAGGATTCTAAGCAAATTGTCTCAGTTTCCATACAACCAGATGTGACCTCTGCTTGGAAAACAGGATGGATCGGTCAGTCGTCCTGCTCTCCGGGACGCAATCTCGCTTTCCATGCAGACTTGCTTGGAAAACGTTCCGGTTTCCATGCCTCGAAATGAAAGGTCATGGACTTTTCAAAGAGCCAAAGAAACCAGGACGCCGTTTTTACCGCGTGGATTGGAAAATGCGACATTTCCAGCTGCGGCTTTACTCACTGTAGTACAGCCAGTCCGCGACCGGGGAGACCGCGATGCCGCACTGAAAGACGCTCTGCTGCGAACCCAGCACCATGGCCGTGACGTAGCCGCCGTAGCCCCAGCCCCACAGGCCCACCCGGGTCCGGTCCATGTACTTCAGCGAGTCGAGCAGGTATCTGCAGCGGAACACAAACACAAGGATTAGCTTGGAGACGAGAAACACGACCCGAAGTCTAATTCCACCGTCTTCCCGCCTGCGCCACTTTCGTAAAGGAAAACCACCCGAAAATTCGTTTCGATTCTTTACATCGAAGAATTACAAAATTCTGATGGCACTATGCATCGATTTTGGATTGTTCGGTGAAGAATGAGCTGTCACGCAATTTACGATTGTGACCGTGCGTTGAGAACACCGTTTATTACCCCGAAATATACATAAAGCATTGTAAATTCACATAAATGCTCCCAAGCACAGAGCTTACCTCACGACGCTGATTTGGTCCTGCACCTCGGGGCCGCCAAGCTTGCGGTGCAGGCCGCGCTTGCTCTGGCCCCTGGCGCCCCTCGCGTCCAGGCGCACGTACACGACGTCGAAGCGGCTCGACATGTACGTCCCCCAGTGCACCGAGAAGCGGTCCGTCACCGTCCGGGACCCGGGCCTGCCGTTTCTGGAAAAGACACACAAAATCGGATATGATTAATATTGCGGCATCACATTCGCGTCACATTTTCCTAAATTTCGGCGACGCACACACAATTGTTTCTTGGTTCGATGCAAGACTAAGAAAGTACTCTTGGTACTCATTCCATAGAGTGTAACTGTGCAGTACTGAAGGCGGCGCAAGTGATAGCGCCTGCAGCGCGTTGGGTAGGCCAACCCGCCACGTAGCTGTGTGGAGTCGGAGGCCCGCCCTGCGCCTGAGCGCTGGCGAGGGCAGACAGAGGGCCAAGGTTATACAGTAGGTTGTGGCAGTAGACCCCTCGCGATCTGATTGGTCGCCGAATCGTGACGTCACCATTTGTCCTCCCGCCCGTAGTTCAAATTACGGCTCGTGTGCCCGTCTCAATATTATGTGTTATAACAAACACAGGATAAAAATACCCACGGTATTTTGTTTTAGCTCCCCTCAGCATCGATAAATGACAATACATTCACTCAGATGCCGAGCAGGTCGAAAGATGCGGACGGATTACGAACGCCCATAACCTCACATCCAAGATGGCCGCTGCTCGGCCGCTCAGCTGATCGTACGGGAGTGAGGTGAGGACTGTTTGTAATCCGTCCGCATCCTTCGACATGCTCGGCATCTGAGTGATTGTATTGTCATTTATCGATGCTGAGGGGTGCTAAAACAAAATACCGTGGATATTTTTATCCTGTGATTGTTATAACATATAATATTGAGACGGGCACACGAGCCGTAATTTGAACTACGGGCGGGAGGACAAATGGTGACGTCACGATTCGGCGACCAATCAGATCGCGAGGGGTCTACTGCCACAACCTACTGTATAACCTTGACAGAGGGCAGTGTCCTAGCGTAGAATAAGGGAACTTTAAATTTGAGGAGACTCCTGAGTTGTGAACGGTTCCGCCTTACCTATATTGACTCGACAGATCTCGATAATTTCAAATCTTCTGTCATCCTAAATATGACTACTGTGGTTGTACATTTTGGATCTTGGCCGATGTGCATTCTCCAATTAGAATGAGAAGGAGATTATATACGATGACGTCGGTGGCAGGGTAGATCAGTATAGGTCGGGATGACATCCCCACCCCCCTCCACCACCCGGGCCAGGCAACGTTGGTAAACACAAATTGTTTTCGCATTACAATGAGCGTCCTGGCTATTCGTTACCCCCCCCCCCCCCTCCCCATCCCTCTCCGATGCGCGATAAATACCCACATGTATCGGCTCCCAATACTGGGGGGCCTACATTTCGGCTCGGCCGCGAAAGCTACGGCCGGACGCCGCCGCCGGCGTACTCACACTTCCACGAGGACGGGGAAGGCCGCGTCTCGGAGCTCCTCCCTCCAGGACGGCGGAAGCAGCAGCTGCACCTGGGCGCGCAGCCCTTGCGCCAGCGGCACCTCGAACGAGCGCATGGTGGGCAGGGCGAGCTGCGAGAGGCGCGCCGCCCGCGCCGGCATGGTGCTGTAGAGCAGGCGCAGCAGGCCGTGCGTCGAGGCCACGTGCACGCCGCCCAGCGGCAGCCCGGGGCCCTCGCACTCCAGCACGTAGTGCGTCACGCCCGTCACGGGGCTGCCGACACACAAGGCACAAAGCTGTAGATCTACACTCTAAACTAACGAGAAGGGACAATTTTGTTCCTAAAACGGCGACGTTTTTGTGAAGATCCATACTGGATGCAATTTTGTTTCTGAAACTGGGCAAAATTGTGCAAAGCTTACAAAATTTGTCGTTTAAGGCACAAAATTCCATCCAGGACGAATGTGCACGAAAACGTTGCCTCTTTAGGAACACAATTGTCTGTTTACATTTACGATTGTAGTTCAATAAAGATCATGATTAAAGTTAAAAATACATAAACATTTAACCGAAGTTCATCAAAGTTTAAATATCAATACAACAACGTTCAAGCCGATCCCTCTCTTTTCAGAAAGATGCCAGCTGACATGTCCGCCCCGGGGAGGCCACGACAACCAACCACTCGAACTCGACTCACTCGAAGGGCGCGGTGATGGCGGAGAAGTGCGTGCAATTGACGTAGTGGTCCCGGTCGGACCCCACGAGCCCCGTGAGTCCGCAGGTGATGCACTGCGGCTCCAGGCGGCGCGGGTCGTCCGTGGACGGGTCCCGCACCACGTACAGGTGCTGCTGGCCGGGCTGGCGCTCGTGCGTGCCCAGGTAGTACACTACGTGGTTCACGGTGTCCCACGACAGGATGTCCGTCACCTCGTACCGCCCGTGACTGAGCACGGCCGTGCGCGTTCGCGTCCGCGTCACGAGCTTGACGTGCGTGTAGAACTCGGTGTCCTCGGCCACCGAGGCCAGCAGCAGGAACGAGTCACCCCCGGGCGCGAACAGCGGCTGCTGCTGCAGGTCCAGCCAGGAGTCGTCGGGTGCCCGCTCGGCGTGCGTCTGTCAGAGAGCATAGATGTCTTTAGCACTAAAAAAAAATCTGTGTTCACCCCCTCCAAAAAATCAAAACAAATCAAAGAAAAAATAATTTTAAAAATCAATCAGAAAAAATAAGGAAATTCAAGAAAAGGCTGGAAGAATCGGTGTACGCTTTAATTTATCATGAAGTACCCCTTTACCGCTAGTTCACTTTCTTGAATACATACCTCTATGCAGGTCCAGTTAGGCGGGCTGCACACGCTGACGATGCTGAAGTTCTGCGCGCGCCGCATCCACACGGCGGCCACCATGTCGTTGTCCTGGCCGACCCAGCCCGCCGACGTCAGATAGTACTCTCTGCAACATTCACAATCATGAATAGTGATCTCAAGCTTCCACTTTGACTCGATCTGCCTCAATTTTGCCAGCCGCAAAACCACTTACTGGTCTTCGAACACGGCCGGCGGCCTCAGCTCCATGGGTGTCAGGTCTGTTGTGTTGGCGACGACAACAACCCAGAGCTTCACCTCAGGGTTGGCGGTACCCGGCTGTCGAGAAAAACACAATATTTAGAAAAGCTATAAAAAAGGAAACATTTCCGTCGCTATCATGTACTAAATTATTATTGCGAAACTGCCGCGTTCTTCCAACTATCTTGCTAAGTCCGAATACAGAAATAAACTAACCGGAGGAATGTACACTAACTACATGTTCCTTCCGTTAAGAACACCGCTGTCACTTATTAAATTACTTAGTCTAACTCCATCTAGTTAGAACGTAAAAACCCTACTAATCGCTAAGTCCGTAAAATACTAGATATAACAAAATTACAACAATATGACACACACAAAAAATGACGCGATGTAGTTCAAAAGTAGGAGTTGACATTTAAACGAACACGACTGCTGGAACATGAGATGAACACACTTCTTTATCACTTACACGTCGAGGCGGAGCACTAGCTTACCGTGGGGTACCGGACGGTCCTGGACTCGGGAAAGAAGGACGCCGACGACGCCCCTGGCGCCACCTGCCCTGCCAGGCTGAACCAAGGGTAGCTCATGGTGCGCACGAGCGAGTCGTTGAAGGACGCGTACAGGAGGTGGGAGCCGTCCGGCGACGGCCAGACCGCCTCCGGGGAGGACAAGATCTCCTCTGCAAAACCAGGGGGTTTCAGACAAGGCAGTTTGGGGGGCGAGGCTGATCAACAAGGGGCCGCGGGGCTGGCGCTGAGATCTGATGAAGAAGAAGTGAGAAGGAGGGCGGCTGGGAATGGGGGGACTCGAGGTGAGTAAATGAAGCAAGGGCAAACAAGGAGAAGGCGGAGAGGGTTGGGGAGGGGGGAATCAGAGAGAGGGCGATAGAAAAGGGGGGCGGGGGGCAGAGCGACGGGTGAGCTGAGCGGGGCGGCTGGACTCGTTGACCGCGCGGCACCGGGAGTGTCAGGCGAGGCGTCCAGGGGATCAGTCACACAACACCTGACTGCTCCGACTGACGCCCCCAGCGCCGCCATGTGCGCCACGATGCCGCCGCGGGTGTCCGTCGAGGTGAGGCGACCGGGGAGGGGGAAAAGGGATCGGAGCTCATCAGACCAAACTAAGATTGGCTATATGTAATCCACAATAATCCATATATACTATGCACGACATGAAAGAAAAAACGCTATAATACGTCTGACTTTAACCTATAAAATTATTTTTTTAAATTATTTTTTAATTAAAATAATTATCCGTTATTGTCTACATACACAACAAACTAAATATCTACGGAACTGACTATGGCTATAAGCTGGTCAGATCGGAGCATTAAAACATTTTAGTACCGTTTACAAATTTACGTTATTAGAAAAATTAACAGAATATTAGAGTCGTAAAATATAATGGGCAGCTATCAAACGAGAGCGATAAGACCATTACATCATTCCACCACATATTCAAGTCTACTTCGCACGCAGACTCGCGCTCAGGTCTCACTAACCAGCAAAACGACAAAAGAAAGAGATTATTCATAAGCATACCAATGTGTCTATTGGGTTTCTCTTTAAAAGTGGGTGAAGCTCCATTGATCCAATCAGCCTATTCGACTACATCACCTAGCTCTGGAAAACCAAGACGTTAGGGTGGCTGCTAGAACCCTTTCTCATTTTGTAGTTGCAGTGTCCCGCTCGCAAGCGTGTGGCCTCGCGGGATCAGTATACGTGGGCAGAGATGATAGGCAAACCCGCCTGCATGCGGTACATTTTAACGACACAAAGAGGAAGAGGTATGGTGAGCCACTCTATACATCTACACCACAAAAAAAAAAAATGTACGACAATCTTTCTCCTACCTCTACGCTAAAAATCGTATTCTCATTTGGCGAGGAGAAAACACATAGAAACGAAAGTGCAGTGGTTGGCTAATACCGCTTGTGTCTGTGCTCTGTCCTGCGCCGCACTCACCCTGGTACAGCCAGTCGGCCACGCCGTTGTAGTACTCGTTGGCCTGGCCCGTGTGCGTGAGGCGCGTGTCCTCCTCGACCTGCGGCGAGCTGCGGAGGTAGATGTCGTTCTCCACGATCATGAGCAGCCCCTCGGTGCTGCCCAGCCAGGAGGCGAACTGCAGCGGCGTCGGCATGACCTTGGGCGCGTGCGCCAGGCGCAGCGGGATGTGGTGGCTGAGGACCGAATTTTAGTTTACTAAAGAGTATTTTGGAGATCTTTTTAGATGTCTAAATTGTTTCCATAAAAGTTTTATTTTTAATTTTTAAAATTTCTAGAACTATGTAAATTTCCTCTTTTATATTTTTGCTAGGAAAGCTTTCAATTTAGGTCAGACAAGCATTCCAAATTGAATAGCACGTTTGCACGTGAGAAACAATATGAAGAGAAAGAAAAGGAAACCGCAAGCCGCAAGTAAAACTAAGAAAAATTACAGGGACCGAGCCTTTGCAGGTTTTGGACCGAGTACACGTCACAACCCCACTTGTTGCTCGGAAGTCAATCACGCTAACCGCTCCGCCGGAGCGGGGCGGGGACCCTGCGCAGGAGGGAAGGCCACGCCCGGGGGCTCGCTATGGCCGCATTATTGAAATGACGGACTGCAATGCAAACGGGTTGTGGAAAAAAAACGAGGGAAAATAATCTGTAAATTATGAAGGCAGGGAGCGGGCGCGGTACGGGCGGGGCTGCGCTGGCACCCGTGCAATCCGCCCTAATGGCTCGGGGCAGAGCGTTGCAGAGTTCCACGCCACGCGACGCCTAGCCAACCACAATCAAAAATAGCTGCTTTCATACAGACGACCAATTTCCTTCCGCAAATGGGCCTCGCGCCATGTTCTGCTGCTGTACCCTCCCCCCCCCCCTCCCCCGTCCTCCGGGTGACGGACTGCACTGCTCCCCGTACTAGCGCGAGAGGGGGGAACGGAAAGCATATCACAGGTCTGTTTATGGCCTTATTTTCACTCTCCGGGGATCTCTCTCTCTCTCTCTATCTCTCTCTCTCTCTCTCTCTCTCTCTACTGTTAAAAACTTGTACTTTATTAAACTTTTCAGAAATTCAAGTTTTAGAGTAAACGCAAAAAACGATTTAGTAAAATTGGTATTGTAGTTCGTAAAATTACAACTTTTCAAATTATTGCTCGTCAATGAAAAGTATGGAACCTGCTTAGGTGGTAGACCTACGATTAAGTTGGAATTTACAAATCGCGATCATCATGTAAAGAGATATGTAGGTTAGCCGTTGACTTCACGCAGCAAAGAGACCGACTCGCTACACATTTTGTCTTTCACATAGTCGTTTTGGAGGATACTCACTCGTTACTGACATCGTAGACTGTATATTGGGCTGTGTAGGACTGTCGAAATATCTGCAACGACGAAAGAGGCGAGAATTAGAACAGGGCTGTTAAACGACAACACACACACACACTAACTAGAGTGCCGCGGTTGCACGACGGTTCGAGCCATGCGGCAGGCTATCGTCCGGGAAACAGGGAGCAGGCGGAGGAGGAGGTCCAGAGATAGCCGCTGACAGAGTGCTGGCCCGCGAGGGGCTGCTGGGACGGGACCCGACGGGACGTCGCTGTCACGTCAGCCCTTCTCCCCTATCCGGGGCCGGGCCGGGGACATGCAGCGCAACAAGTAGAACGCCTACAGCAGGCAGGTGCAGTCCATGGGAGTGAAAAAGTGAGAGCGGGAGGGGGGAGGGACGGGGGGAAGGGCAGAGGATCTCGGCGCGGTGTGGCGGGCCTGTGAGGGTCCGACCCGACAGCCAGCGACAGCTTGCGACAGCCCGAGTGACAAATGTCGGGTCCAATTTCCCGATGTATTGGCGCTGCGCCGGTGCGCTACCGCGGCCCGAACACACGGGAGGATTACCATCTCCTGTGGACTCCCATGGGAGTCGTGAATCGGGGTAGGATGGATCCTATTCGAACTCCTCTCCCAAACCTCTAAGGAGTCGTTCCAATTACCACGTAACCCTTCGGGGGGGGGGGGGGGAATATTTTAGGGTCCTTCAAAGATTATGACCATCACTACACTGATAAACTAAGTGTGCAACTGCTGAAAACTTGTAAGTGTGCAACTCCGTAGTAGTATTTGCAAGCGTTCAGCTCGGTTGGTGTGAACTTGCAAGTATGCAACTCTTCGGTGAAACACTTCCTTGGATTAAATGCTCACTGTGTAGGAAGTGCTCAAGCGAGGAGTTGCACACTTGCAAGTGCACACCTACCGAGTTAAACACTTGCAAGTATTCAACTTGCAACTGCAACAGACTGGACTTGCTCGTGAGCCAGGCTGATACGAAAATTAAATTCGGCAAGCACAAAGGTTGATTGCCGGCGATTGTCATTGAGACATAAGTCATTAATGTACAATTGATCTCAGGAGAAAGATTTGTACACCGACAACGAATGAATTGGCCACGGTGGAGGGAGAAACGGTGGGGGCACGAGGGCCTCCCAGCATAGGGACCCGTGGGTCCAGAATCTCGACAGGTTGGGGGATTAACGGCCGAGTCGGGGCTATCTAACGTGCCGGTACGGAGTACCTTTAGTCGGGGCGGCCTATGCAGGTAGCTGGGCCGCCCCGACTTAGCTTGAGCGGCACCGACCCTCGCCCGGCTCACCCGGCCGGAGTGTGCGAGAGAGAGAGTCAGGTAGGAGCCCGTCCCGCGCAAGCTGAGTCTGGGCTTCCCACCTACCTACCTGCACGGCGGCCCCGACTGAAGGTAGTGTGAACGCGCCCTACAGTTGGCCCCGACTAGGGCGTTAATCCCCCAACCTGTCGAGATTCTGGACCCACGAGCAGAGCCCTCGTGCCCCCACCGTATCTCCCTCCACCGTGGAATTGGCATTTGAGCTGAGCTAAGGGACCAACTGCAGCAGGTGTCTCATAAGAAAGTCCACTGGAGTGGCTGGAGTCGGCACGGCAGTTCGGCCGCCTGCCGCCTATAAAGTGAATGAAGTTCTATTTGAGGACTCATCCCAGGAGATGGCCGCCTGCATTGCGGTCGTTCAAGATAACAATCGCAGAGATCCTTGAAGGCTTTGACTGTAGGTGACTTGATGGGTATTTTACTGACGTCTGTTAACATTAAGTAGCCAGATGATGTCTCTCGTCAAAAAGGGTGGGACGACCGATCTCACGGACTACTTAGGAACTCCAATTATCACTTGACAGTAGTCAACCTTCACTGAAAACTCAGAAATGACGGGCACCATAACAACAGATATAGACGTCCGTCAGTGTTGCACATGTTAGTTGTCGTGCAATTTCCGAAAGCAACAGACAAGCATCATTCCAAAGTATCCTTTATTTTCCAAAATGTTGTTCAAAGTCCATTTGAAACTTGTGTCCGACCAAGAACAGGATATTCCTCCCACGACTGCAGGTCACCCACAGGAGAGATAGGAGGCCCATGGCAACTCCGCAACGAGACGACCATGGCTGGGGATTTCAGCCATGACAATACGTCACGCACGACAGGGTCTGGTCCCCACCCCTCTCTTTCAGGCCTAGTGAGGCCCGAGCACCGGGCCCTTCCATATCAGTCCAGCCCCCTCTAAACGTCCACGCTCGCTATCAGCAGGGTCAAAGGGATTTCCAGTGGCCAGCGGTGAGGAATGGGTGGGTGACGCATTATCCAAGCCATAGCCACAAAAGGCAGAAAAGCATGTGTGGTTTCGTCCAGAACATAATACGAATTTTCAATTACGAATTTTCCGACTACTGGGCTATCAGCGAAAATTTATCTTTTTTTCCCTTTACTCCTGTTTTTTATTCTTATAATTTTTGGCAGCGCCAATACTGCCCCCCTCCCCCAACGGGTTCTCCCCCTGTCCCCGTCAGCGCACACACGACAACTATTGGTCGCATTTAGCGGAGACCAACACCAAACTGCAGCAGTGACGAATGTATGCGGACTGGAGCTCCGGCAACTGGCGACAAACATTCACGAAGACATGGGGTCGGGGGCGGTCGGACAAGGGTGGGGGCGGGCCGGGGGCGGTCGCGACCCACCCCCACGGCCAACTTTCCATCATTACTCACTGGCCGCGCCCGCTCCTCTCCCGCCTGAGACACACATTTTCGAACGAAATGGACGCTGTAACGGCCCGGCTGCCCCCCCTACCCTTCATGCTTTTGTTCACGACGGCGCCGCGATCGCCGTGGCACTTTCTCCCCCTCCTGTCGTGGTGGTGGCGGCGGAGGGGGAGTGGGGTTCAATTCCCGCGTTCGCCACGCCCGCGCTGTTTTTTTGCCCTCTTTTTTCCAAGCTTTCCTGGTAATGGAGTGGAAACCACGAGTTTAGTGACGCAACATGAACCCACAAGAGGTCCTCATTATAGAGGCGGGGCGGGGGTCGACCGAGGACGCCAGGTTGGTTACACTGACCTTTCTTTTACACGAAAAAATCTAAGGAGTCAGGATGAATTCCTTTCTATGTTTTTTATGTTTTAAGATTTATATATAGGCCTAGTAAAGAAGAGGAGCATAGTAGGAATTCATGAAAAACTTGGCGTGAGAAAAAGTGAAATAGTATTGAAATAGTATTGAAATAGTTTTATTGAAAGACTTTGAAATCACAAAGAAAAGGGCTTTAAAGCCCCACCGCTGTTTGCAATAAAATTAAGAAATATTATTAAGGGAGAGGAAGAGAGTGAGACAGACAGAGAGAGAGAGAGACAGAGGAAAGGGAGTCTGACTGACAAGTTTCATTAAGAGGCGTTAGGCATGAGAGGCTTAACTGGCCCCACAAAAACAAACCCCCCGTGTCCAGCAGTCCATAACGCACACGCTGCACGCCAGCCTCCCCCGGCCCAGGCACGCACGCGCTCACGCACACATCCACTACACGTTAGAGCAACAGCTGCGCGCCCATGGTTCGCGTGTTTTTTCTGCTCCAGGCAGTAAACTGAACAAAAATCGTGCGCGAAGCGATCGACTGCTCAAACGACGCGAGCCAGTCTTCTTATCGGGCGGCCAAAAAAAGAGAAGGCAACCGCTGAAGAACAGACAGAAGTGGGAAAGAAAACGGATGCCCGCTGGGGAAGGCGCCCTGCCCCGCGGTGTGTGGTGTGGGAGCCCCTGAGAGGTAGGCTGGCCCGCCGCCCACCGCTCCTCCGCGGGACGGCCTATCCAGCGGTTGTCAGGGGCTCCGGGCCGGGAGGTCGGCCCACGGCCGGCCTCCGGTCGCGCGCGGCCCCGGCCACCCCGGCCACCCCCAGCCCACGAGGATCGCTACGCAGGCAGCGCATGCGCCCCCCAGCAATTAACACTGTGATTTAATCTCGCCCAATAAGACAAAGTTTGAATAGAATTCGCCCTCTACCCCTCCTGCCCTTGCCTTGCCTCGCCTCCCACAGCCGGCTGGCCCAGTTTTCCACCTGGCCTTCCTTAAAGTCTAGCGCGTGCCGCACGATTATTATTTTTAAAAAATACCAACTGTTAAATCAAATGTGGGGCTGTTACACATTAAATGTTTTTAGGGATTTTTAAAAATTGGATTATTGTGGAGAGTTTTTATTGTGCGCAAGCTAATTTTAGTTGCGCACGGTTCAATGCACATTTAAGCAGATATCGTACGTAATATTAGTTGTACATGAGGCTAGTTTACAAAACAACTGCATTACTAATGAAAAATAATGATGCCGTTTCACCTTTGCACAAGTAATGCATTTTAGTTCCCTTGTTTCCTTATCGCTTTCAGTAAGAGCACGAGAAGCATCATAACACCCTAAAAAATGTAAATTACCACCCATGGAGCTAGCGGCAATTAATTCTCCGCTGTACGGCGCTGTCGTCGAGGCAGAGTCCAACGACATCTCTGAGACGACGCACCAACGTGAGGCGACGCATGACGGAACAGCATTTTTTTCGCGTTATGGCGGGCATAACGTCCCTCTACTTTATATCTCTCTCTATTTCCTCTGCCCCCACCCCCTCCCTTTTCCTACAGCCCCTTCATCTCCCCAGCAGCCCTCCCTCCCCCCCTTTTGTCTGCGCGCCGCCGCTGCAGGGCATCGTCTCAAGCGAGTTCACATAAAAAGTTATTCTAGTTCGCGGGAGGGAAGACATAAAAGGGCCGCGGTCGCGTCACGGCGACCGCGCGGCCAATTGGGGACCATGTATACCGAAACACTGGGGGGTGGTACTCAGTTCGAAAAGTGATTGCAAGTTGCAAGAGTCGGTTTGTTATATGAAGAAAAAAGAATTGAGATCCATTGTAAAACCACAAAGGATTTACTTTGCAAATTACAAAGTGCAGCGTGTTTCATTGGTTCGCAATTGCAAAGCATCAATTTGTAATTGCAAATTAAATGTTTCGTAGTTACAAAGGATGTAAATACTTCGCAGTTCTGCAAAGCATTGCTTTGTATGAATTTAACAGTGCATATTGAAAATAGAAGGGGAATTTACTCACTTGTAATTTCGAGGCAGTTCCGATAAAAAACAACCCAACGAAGCTGCAAACCATAGGGGAGTTGCAGCTTAAGATCAAATCACGTAGTAATACATTCTGGCTTCCGCGCGCGTCCGGGTGGGGCGCCGAACCGCACGCCGTTCGACCCTCGACCCGACGGCACGGTCCTCCAGCCCCACCCCCACACCCGGCCGAGCCCCTCCAACACGCCGCGCAGTCATTGTCGCTGACACGGGCGGCGTCCCTGCCAAACAGCCTGATGAGCCCCATGGGGGCGGCGCGGGGGCGCGTCGGGCCCGGCCGGGATTTGGTGGTGCGAGTCGTGGCGGGGTGGGGGTTGTAGCGAGGCGTGGGCCTGGGCACGCGG